AGATCTCAAGGTAACTGTCACGACAACAAGAAAACACAGAAATAAAGCAGCCTAATAACTATATCTGAAAAAGAACTATGGGTATAGTCACAGGCAGTACTAACTGGAAGCAAAAAGAGCATAGCCTACCAAATTTTTGAGGAAATAGTTTTTCCAAAGTAAATATATGCCCGATCATAAAAGGCTTATATTTGATGTGCTCAGGCAGGGCACTGAACAAGGCAAACCTCTCAGAGGGCCTGAGCCTCAGAAGACAGTACAGTGAACCCAAATAGCTGACCCATGAGTTGCCAACGGGCTAACCATAGAACTCACTCCACTCCCAGGGCATGGGTCCTCTGCGATTACGGCCTGACAGGATTTATCACTAGATAACGGTTCAGCGACTACAGCACAAGTTCCCCCAAGTTCCCTTTTCCAAATAGGAGACTTCATTTACTCATCCTGATCTTGCTCCTCCATAGTTTATCAGTGGCGGGGAGGAGGGGTTTAATTTATAAGTAGCTGAATATGAGCTGCCAAATCTGGACCCGAAGAAGAAAACTATACGCAACATAGAGATTGTCAGCTCTTGAGTGACATGATGGCACTTGGGTTGCTCTCCTTGCTGAGTGAGTGCATTGTCTGTGTGGAAAGAAAGGAGCAGGCAGACATATTTGCATGGCCAGAGGGGCAAGCTGGTAGAAGCTGCGAGTTAGTTCTCTAAACTTTCCACAGTAATGAAGCTGTGGCCAGGCACCTGGCTGCCCAGATGGACCATATTTTCTAGTCTTCTTTAGAATTTTCACAATTGCAGCATGGCTAACTTCTCGACCATGCCATGTGAGCAGAAGCGGTGGATGTCACCCCCAGATCTGGGGCTTCAGACCTTCACTTCTCTTCCCCCTCATATGCCAGCTGGAACCCATATGTGACGGCGGCCTTGTTTCAACCTTACAGATGACAATGCCAGTGTCCTAGGAGATGGCAGAATAACAATTGGGAAGGAACCATGATTGCTTAATGGCCTCAAGGAAAAAAGCTGGCCAGCCAATCTGGACTGTTCACATGGAGACGATTCCCTAAGAGAAAACCACTTCTTTATTCTTTGAGACACTTCAGTGTTAGGTCTTTTCCTTTAATGACTATAGCATCACCTACATATGACTGACATCAGAAATCCACCTCTTCTTTCATCCTGGACCTATGAGGATCTGGGGAAAATGTCTGCCTAGGTGCATGTGTGTGTAAGTCCCCTCCCCCCCAAAAAAAAGTTAAATTAAAGAAAGCCAATGAGGAATGGTGGTATAGTAAAAATATATAGTATTTGTTCCTGGTACTGGCCTCCTAAAGTCTTGGGATTGCTTGGGTGACAGGAATATCTTCTGTCGTTTATAAAGTACCTTCTGACCACACTGGTGCTTATGCTAATGAAGTGACTAGAAGGTAGGACTAGATAGCCTAAGAATGAGGCTGTCCAGAAGGACCAAAGAGGATTAGAGTGGGAACTTTAATGGGTCTACCCCTGACCTCCAATGGAGGGAAGGAAGTGGAGATTAGATTCTAGTAACTCTAACCAAGAGGTTTAGAGAGCTTGAAAACTGGTGATTATATTGAACTTCTGGGACAGTGGCATGCCTGAAGAGGGTATAGAAACTCTGCACATATACCCTTATTCCTATTGTTTTGGTATTGAATTCAGGAACTCTTTAACACTGAGTTATATCCCTAGCCCTTTACTTTTTTTTTTTTTAATATTTGAGATAAGGTCTTGCTGAGTTGCTGAGGTTGGCCTCCAACTTGAGATCCTCCTGCTTCTGACTGCCTGACTGCTGAGTTGCTGGGATTTACTGGTATGCATCACTATGCCCACTACTACCCATACTCCTTGCCCTTTACATTTCTTCCACTTGGCTGTTCCTGAGTTGTGCCCTTCGTAATAAACCAGTAAATACAAATAAAGTTGATCTTGACTTCTGTGAGTCACTCCAATGAATCATCCCACCGTGGAGGGCATTGTTGGAAACTCTGATTTGTAATCAGTTAATCATTGGTGCAGGTGATTGCTGGGACTTACAAGCAGTGTCTGAGATGACAGTAGGCTGGTGGGACTGAGCCTTAACCTGTGTGGTCTATGTTCACTCTGTATGGTTAATGTCTGAGTTGAATCAGGCTCTTGGACAACCAAATGGTGTCAGAGAACTGGAGAACTGACGCAACAACCCCTAACAAGTGTTATCAGAAGTGGTAGCAGAAAAAAACAAGACACCACAGGAGCTTCCCTACATATAGTGTGGAGTATTATGGGGCTGATCCCAACACTTTGTGTAGACGCCTTTACTTTGCCTCTGGACCTGCAGAACCCCTATAGGATTACTAAAGGCAGCACCAACCTCAGGGAGCACTATACTGTCCATGGGCCAAGAAACCCTAGGCAGCTACAATGCCAATCTAAGAAGTTGTTAAGTTTGGATTTTTTCAACCTCAAAAACATGATCAAGAACAATAAATGCAAGTGACTGCACCCTCTTCACAGAGGTAGCAGATTATCCTAGAGAATTTGCCGACAGAGCCAGGTGTGGTGGTAAATGCCTGTAATCCCAGTTATTCCAGAGGATGAGGGAGGAGGATTGTAAATTCAAGGTCAACTTCAGTAACTTCATGAGAACATGTCTCAAAATAAAAATTTAAAAGACTGAGGGTAAAGCACAGTAGTAGAGCACCCCCAGGTTCAATTTCCCAGCACTCCCTCCCCCTAAGAAAGAATTTGCTGACAGGTGTTCCCAAACGAGTACTGTGATCTCAACCCATCACTCCTATACAGACTGTAAACGAATTTCACTACAAGTTACAGGAGGCAGAACTGCAGAATTCTGACACTCCATGTTTCTGAACCTGAACCAGGCCCAAGCTGGTGATGGCAGAGGTATGTTAAGTTAAATAAGAAACTGAAATTTTGATTTAGATTGGATGAAACTTTTTAATAGCTAAAATGAGATTATTTGTTAGGGTTTTGTAAGTGATCAGAAGAGCCACAGGTTCTGTCCAAGTTATTATCCAGAGAAAAAGAGAGGCACACGACATAGCATGTTACAAAGCAGTAGAGGGGGACTGGAGGTATAGCTCAGTGGTAGAGAACTTGCTTAGCATGCCGATGCCCTGGGTTTAATCCGAGAGCTACAAAACAAACAAATAAAGCAACAGAGAAAGAAAGAATCAAGTAGGTTCATCTGTTGGTGCCTACCAAGTGCAACTCATTGAATACTGGGCATAGACCAGATTTAGGTGATGATGTATGTCTGCCTGGCTGTCATGCTTAGCCAAGAATCACATGGATGGGTTACTACAGCACACCCATTTGCAAGAGAAATGACATGGCAGCAACAGCAACAACAACAACAACAACAACAAAAACTGATGCTATTTGTCCCTCTCCTCAGAAAGGCCATAGCAAATAGACTAAACCTTTAAACTGACTGAACATTATTAAGGTGAAGGGGAAACGAGAGGAAGAGAGAAAGATGTTCCCAAACAATAGATGCTCCTAAACAGTGAACTGGAGCATTCAGGTATGCTTTGTAAAGCTACTTCTGGCCTTGAACTGGCCAATTCCAGTTTTTTTTTTATATGAGACTTCTTATTTCACCTAATCTTGTCTGATACAATATCTGCAACATATTAAAAGCTCCTTCAACTAAATAAGAAAAGGAAAATAAGTCTGTAGAAAAATGGGAGAAGGAGAGCAGGCAATTCACAAAAGGAAGAAATACAAATGGTTACTGAGTATATGAATGAATACTAACCTTGAGAGTAACTCAAATAATGTAAATTAAAAAATGAAATGCAATTTTTTTTTGTACCAGGAATTGAACTCAGCAGCACTCTACAATGAACCACATCCTCAACCCTATTTTTTTTTTGTATTTTATTTAGAGACAGGGTCTCACTGAGTTGTTTAGCACCTTGCTTTTGCTGAGGCTGGCTTTAAACTCGCAATCCTGATGTCTCAGCCTCCTAAGCCACTGGGATTACATACGTGTGCCACCATGCCTGGCCTGAAATGCAATTTCTTACTTGTAAGGTTGGTAGAAATTTTAAATATGAATTCTATCTGGCTGAAAAGGGTCAGGAATAATAGGTATTCTCATTCAACATTGATGAGAATCTAACCAGAGAAAGTATTTCTGGAGGACAATTTGGAAATAGGTATGACTATTTAAAATTCATTTATGTATTAGAAAGTGCTCATGTGTGGGTGTGCTTGTGTGTATATGTGTATAACTCTAGAAAAAATCCCAGAATAATATATAACAAATTTAACAATACTTTTATTTTTTAGCAGTGGAGGGGCAGTGGATGAAAAGAGGGTATTCATGGATTTTCACTGTTTCTAGAATGAATAAAATTTGTATAGCATATATTACTTTTTTAATTAAAATATCTAAGGAAATATCAGTCATATGAGCTTTATAAAGATTAAACAGAAATATAAAATATTTTATTTATTTCCCTTTAAAATAGATGTAATAGGTGTTGAGCAGGCATGGTCTACTCAAATTTGAGTATATTTTGGCAAGCAAACCCTATCTTATTAAAGGTAAGAAGTTCAATATTTTATAGCCCAATAAAAAGGGTTTCCTCATTTGGCAAGATTGTAAGTACAAGGTGATGTTTTTATATCTCTGGACATTACTGAGTAAGGCTTATTTTTAGTAATTAAGTATAAAAAAGCAATCTTAGGAAAAGTATTGTGAAATAAATTTTATAAAGCCTTGCATTCAATAAAAATAATGAATTCTATTATTAGTTTTCATCTCTTTTTGGCAGAGAAGACAATCTTTGATTTTTAAGCATTTGCCAAGGAAATAACCTTCTGCCAACCCATACTGATGGATTTGCTTGTTCCAGACCAGAATTCATTAAAAAAACAGCAATTCTTCCGAGAAATCTTTTTTTTAAAAAAAATCTGAAATTTTTAAGCAAAAAAGTAGGTCGTTTAAAATATAAAGAGACAGTCTTACTTGGTCCTCAAAAGAAAGTGCCTGGGCAACGTCTCTTGGAAATCCATCAATAACAATGCCCTCTTCATCAGGTATTTGCATCAATTTTTGTTTTATCTCTGTGATAGTTGTTTCCTTTTATAAAGGAAAAAAAAACATGAAAAGAAACCACAGTTAAACTTAGTATATTCATAACTGGTACAAAAATTTTTGCAGAATAGAAGCAAATTGTATAACAGTACCTGTGGGGCCAATTCTCCATTTGTAATTATCTTGGCAATGAGACTCCATTTCCTATTACTGCTGGTGCTGTGGATCTTCTTTCTTAATAATTCTCCCACTGAAATGTACTGGAATCCATATCGTTCTGCAATTTTCAAACTCTGAGTACCCTTTCCACTTCCTGGACCACCTATTATTCAAAAGAGGAAAAACTGTGACCTTAGGATATAATAAGAAACTTCTTTTTACACAACTACTACTTTCATCTGAGATGAGGGGTTCTGCATCACCAGAAACAGGATGAGTAGCTGTTTCATTTGTGACATTCTCAGTGCTACTTTTCTTTTTGAATGCAGAGCAAGTGCAGACTTATCCAAGGAAAGGGTGCAGATGTTTTAACCAACCATATTAGGTGAAAGAGATGTTTTCTCCCTCTACCTATCTTAGTATATAAACAATTAGGCTGGGGATATTTAGCTCAGTGGTACAGTGCCTGCTTAGCTTGCACAAATTCCTAGGTTCAATCCCTAGCACACAAACACAAAACAAAATCAATTTAAAAAAATTTTAAAATTAATGCAGTTAACAGAAACCGTGATTATTCTATGTAAAATCTTATAGTTTTCCCCCTCTGTAATCAAAGAAAAACCTATGGGTTTCAAAAGACAGTGATCAAAATAATGAAAATGTGTTTCATGCCAACAAAGAGTTACCAAGTAATCTGGTAAAATGTAGCAATTATTTTTTAAACCAAAGGTACATCAATAAACATGACATATTTAAATCTTTTCTTGAAATCTGTTTGCACATGCATATCCTTGCCTTATTTCCTTTGAGTTAAAATTTTATGCAAAGAATAGGCACACTGAATGGAAAAGGTCCTCAAGGTAGAAAATATTTGTAGAACTAATAATTTTGAGTTTGTAATACAGTTGTATAAA